TATTCTTCAAATCCATGAGCACGGAATGTTTTTCCATTTCTTTGTATCGCCTTCAATTTCCTTCATAAGCTTTCTGTAGTTTTCAGCATACAGATCTTTTACAATCTTTGGTTAGGTTTATTCCTAGGTATTTTATGATTCTTGGTGCAGTTGTGAATGGGATCAGTTTGTCTTTCTGTTGCTTCATTATTAATGTATAAGAACGCAACTGATTTCTGTACATTAATTTTGTATCCTGCGACTTTGCTGAATTCATGTATCAATTTAGCAGACTTTTGGTGGAGTCTGTCGGGTTTTCCATGTATAATATCATGTCATCTGCAAAAAGTGAAAGCTTGACTTCATCTTTGCCAATTTTGATGCCTTTGATTTCCTTTTGTTGTCTGATTACTGATGCTAGAACTTCCAACACTATGTTAAACAACAGCAGTGAGAGTGGACATCCCTGTCATGTTCCTGATCTCAGGGGAAAAGCTCTCAGTTTTTCCCCATTGAGGATGATAATTAGCTGTGGGCTTTTCATAAATGGCTTTTATGATGTTTAAGTATGTTCTTTCTATACCGAGTTTCTCGAGGGTTTTTATTAAGAAAGAATGCTGAATTTTGTCAAATGCTTTTTCTGCATCGATTGACAAGATCATATGGTTCTTTTCTTTTATTAATGTGATGTATCACATTGATTGATTTGCAAATGTTGAACCAGCCCTGCAGCCCAGGAATGAATCCCACTTGATCTTGGTGAATAGTTCTTTTTATATGTTGTTGAATTCGATTTGCTAGTATCCTGTTGAGAATTTTTGCATCCATATTCATCAGGGATATTGGCCTGTAGTGGTTTTTTTTTTTGCTGTCTGTGTCTGGTTATTTGATGGTTGTAGATAGCTTCTCTCAGGCTTTGGCTTTTCTTTTTTAGTGAACTCTGTTGTTTTCTTTTTCAATCATAGGAGTTTTTAAAAGAACATTTCTAATGACAAATTGGTGAACCTGATTTGTGTTTTTTAATGTCTTTTTTAGAAGATGATAGATGTTTCCCCTCCTAAAAGTTTTTTTAGATTTGCTTTAATCCCTTAGTCTTTTAATCTACCTGGAAGTTATTTTTGTTCATATTGCAAGATAGGAATCTAAATCTGTCTCCTGATGTGTGGATAAACAGGTGTCCCAGCCTCATTCCTGCTCTCTCCCTGCTCATCTGTAACTCCACTTCTCTCCACAGGTGCACACGTGCTCGCAGGCTCTCTGTTTTGTTCCATTGCTTTCATTCTGCTTTAGTTGCTATTTATAGTTTGATAGTATGTGTTGGGGTTTGCTAGATCTAAATCGTCCTTTATTATTCAAATTCAGAATTGTTATTCTTGGCCAATATGAATTTTAGGATTAGCTTATGAAATTCCATAAAAAGTTTCATTGAGCTTTTAATGGAATTTCTTTGAATTTATTGATGCATTTGGGAAGAGTTATTACTCATAAATTTTATTTATTGAGATTTGCTTTTATGTCTTTAAGTAAAATTTAAATTTTTCTCTGTACTGTTCTTGCACATCTTTTCTAAAAAGATTAATTTCTGGAAAAAAAAATAAATAGATTAATTTCTGGATATCCCCATAGGATTTTTTTTTTTTTTGGTAGTTACACATTAACTTTCTTAAAAAAAATTATATGTGAAATTGCTTATTGCTGATGTCTAGGGAACTGCTGTTGACTTTGCTAAGTCTTATATACAGAGATAGTGAATTCTCATATGAGTCTTTTGGATTTTTTGTGTGTGCAGTAATAAGTTGTTTTTTTCCTTTTCAGTCCTTATGTCCCCCCCCCCCCCCCCCCCCCCCCCCGCTTATTTTCTAGTCTGAGACTTCCAGTCAAATGTTGAATAATAGCAGTGATTGCAGGCAATAACGATTGCCATTTCTGACTTTAAAGGGAATGCTCTCCACCGTGAAATGTGATTTATTTTTTTTCTTTTTGGTTTTGGTTTTGGTAGATTGCTTTTAAGGAAATTAATTTTATTCCTGTTTTACTAAGAAAGGTTTTCCTTTTAAATCAGTGGATGTTAAATTTCACCAAATTCTTTCCTGTGTAATTTGAGGTGATCACTTGTATTATTATTTTCCTTTATTCTGTTGTGTAAAAGGAGCCTAGTGTGTGAATGCATTTAAAAAAGTCAAGGGAAGGACAGAGTAATAATCAATGTCAGGTGCTGGTCAAATGTCAGGGAAGGATTGAGCGATCTGTTGAATTTAGCAACAAGGGAGTAGATTATGAATTGTTGAGAACAGTTGTGGCAAAATTGTATGTGAGCACTTTACACTCCGAATGAAATAAAATGAAGTAGTGGAGAAAGTAACAGGAAATTCTTCATAAAAGGAAGAGAGATCTGTCAGTTGAAAAACAGTCTGAGGATGGAGAAGAGTGTTTTGTCGCTGCTATTATTTAGCATTTTGTTTTTTTAGGTTTATTGTGTCTGCATTTTTTAAATGCTGTTGGGATGTAGAAGATGCAAGTAAAGGCAACAGAAGGACTACACAAAAGAGTTAAGGTGCTTGGGCTTGGAGTAGAGAATGGGACAGATAAGTGGAAGGAGCAGAGTGTTTGAACTAGAGAGGTAGACACATGGTCCGAATCTCAGTTGTCCATCTGCCGTCTTGATATATAATACCAAAAATGGAGCAGCGCTGAATGACTAGGGCAAGACAGGGATTGAGTGGGTGGCGGTGTAAATGTCTGGAGAAGAGGGGAAACCATGAGTGGTTAAGGTGTTGGGAGGTCTTACCAGTGAGATTGCTCAAGCGGCAGATAGGTAAGGAAATGACTGGGAGGTGGGGCGAGTGGGGTTGTAGAGACGGCAGATTCAAGTGGCTCAGTGTTAGCTTCAGAAAGAACATGCTTTTATAAAAGGTCGCAGGAGTGAGGGTTTCCAGAGAAGAGTGTTGGGGAATGAGAAGGCCACCAACCTGATGTTCTGGTGTTGCAGCACATGAGGTATACACAACAGGGAGCAGCCTCAGCTTGCGAAGGCTGTTCTGACTTCGGGGGGTTAGGTTTCAATTAAGGCAAGGACGTGGAGTGCCCATTCTATGAAGATACTAAGTGTGTAGGGACAGTTTTCTACTTGCACGGGACTAGGCAGAGACTGGCAGCAGAAACAAGATGATCTAAGACTTTGGTTAGTTCCACAGTCATCAGTGTTCAGGAAACAAGTTTTTGTCTGACCTCTGCCTAACTGGTTGGGAGACTATGCATACAGTGTTCAAATGACCCTTGAGTAAAAACTTCTTAAAGAGTGGGAGGCAAACCATAAGAGACTGTTAATTACAGCGAACAAACAGGCTTGCTGGAGGAGAGGCTGGCAGGGGATAGACTTAGATGGGTATTAAGGAGGGCACTTGTGATGAGCATATGTAAGCGATGAATCACTGAATTCTACCCCTGGAACCAATATTGCTCTGTATCTTAACTAACTAGAATTTATTTTTTTTTATTTTTATTTTTTTTAAATTTATTTTTTTTTCAACATTTATTTATTTTTGGAACAGAGAGAGACAGAGCATGAACGGGGGAGGGGCAGAGAGAGAGGGAGACACAGAATCGGAAACAGGCTCCAGGCTCTGAGCCATCAGCCCAGAGCCTGACGCGGGGCTCGAGCTCCCGGACCGCGAGATCGTGACCTGGCTGAAGTCGGACGCTTAACCGACTGCGCCACCCAGGCGCCCCATTAACTAACTAGAATTTAAATCAAAACTAGAAACATGAGAAAAAAAAAAACAAAACCTTCTTGAAGTTCAAACAAGTTACACGATCTCGAGAGATACCCATTGAAAAATACAGCCTGTTTTTTTTTTCTGATAGTTTTCATCCTGTAATGGTGAAACTAACAGAGTTTTGCAACAAAGTACAGATTCCTTAATATGCTGTATTGATTTTTTAACTTAAAGATTTACTATCTTGGATAAATTTTCAAGACTTTGTGGTTAGGAATGCCAAATTTCATGTTAGAGCCTCGTGTGTTTATGTTCTCTTCTGTTTATTTTCTAAACCTGCTTTCATTTTTATCACACTTTAATTTTTTATTTCTGAACTTTGCCAAGAAGCAGTAGAGATGATGGGGGAGGGTAATGACCAATGCAGGTCCTTACCCAGCGAGGGCCCGATCCGGGGTGGCGGGTAGTAAGAGCCCTTCTCCCGTGTGTGTGTTTGTGCGCGCGCGCGCGTGTTCGTCCGCGGTGTGCCTGGAGGCAGCCCTGGTCTCATGTGCATGTGTGTTTGTGCTTCGTTTCAGGGACCATGGCCAAACCCGCTGGGTCGTTAGCCAGAAGCAGCAGCCTGTGCCGCTCCCGCCGCAGCATCGTGCCAGCCTCTCCGCAGTGTCCACGCGCACAGCTTCCTCTGCACGCCCCTCACCAGGCCCACGCCCGGCACCCCCAGCACCCTCAGCACCCACAGCACTCCTTGCCTTCCCCGGACCCCGATATCCTCTCGGTGTCAAGTTGCCCTGTCCTTTATCGCAATGAGGAGGAGGAGGAGGCCATATACTTCTCTGCTGAAAAGCAATGGTATTGCAGTGAATCGACTACAGTAGATATTGGGCTGGGTGGTGGGGAGGTGGGCGTGGGTGGGTCGGAGTGATGCGTTGGATTAGTTTTCTGTTGCTGCACAGTGAGTGACCACAGACTTAGCAGCTTCGGGCAGCATCCGTTTATTAGCCCCAGGTTCTGTTTGACAAAGTCTGAGCTGGCTGTGGCTGGGATTTCTGCTCAGGGACTCGCAAGGCCAGATGCAAGGTGGTTGCCCAGCTTTGTTCTTCCCTGACGCTTGAGGGCCACTCCCGACTCCTTTGGTTGTGACAGAGTTCGCTTCCCGTGGTTACAGCACGGAGGTCCCGGTTTCCACGCCTGCTCTCAGGCTGCTTCCATGCTGCTGCCAGTTCCTGGCGGGTGCACAGTGGCCCTTGCTGTGCGTGGCCTCCGTCTTCAGAGACTAGGCCTTCTGACAGGTCCCTTGGAATCTCTGATGTCCCCTGTCTCTGATCTCTGGACCCGATTTTAAAAGCCTCACTCGTCACTTGGATAGCCGTCTCTCTGCATGAAAATCAGCTGGTGTGGGGCCTTAATGACATCTGCAGAGCCCCTTCATGGCAGCACCTCTGTTCGCGTTTGATAGAATGATTGGCGGGACGTGTGTGTACCCCAGAGCTAGAAACTTGGGGAGCGTCTCAGAATTCCGCCCACCACAGACAGAGGTAGATATTCGGACATATAACTGCTTAGAGACCGACCACTGCACACAATTGACTCAAGTCTCAGAGCACAAACTTGTCTTGTGAGCAGTTTTATATGTAAAACACAAAGGCATGAACTTAAATATACTTGAACACAAACATTAAATATGACTGAGTGTTTAAAATACTTGCTGCCACTTAATGGTTTTTTCTGTCGTGTGCTAGTACTTGGCTAATGAACAGGAATTAACAGGCGTCAAAGGTGGAAGAAAATGTTAAGAACTTAAAGGAGGGCGTTACGTTCACATGAATTTCTTGGCATAAAGTGGGCCGAGCAGCGGTGTGTTCGGTCCAGCCAAAGGACCACCGTGCTCCACGAGCCCTGCTGATCGGAGGCTCTCTCCTAAACCGCGTCCGTCTTCAGAGCGGTGTGGTAGTAAGCGACAGGAAAACTGACGCTGGCTTCTGATTTGGCAACACTTAGCAGCCGTGTAGCCCCAAAGTCTTCTGTCCTCAGATGAGAAAGAAAAGCAGAGGGAATGGCTGGCTGTTCTCGGTGACCTGTTGCGGCTCTTCTCTGTCATGTGATTCTTTAGTTGGCATCGTCATCAAATGATAATTTTCACACATGATTGTTTTATCTCTAGTGAGAGTCAACTTTGTGAGTAGCCAAGATCATCATAGCATGTTACTGAGCAGATAGTCCAAGGCTTGTATCATCATCACAGCTGGAGAATTTGACGTGGCTTTGCTTGGATACCACTTTCTGATTAGATTTTTGTATAATCTGCACAGTAAAACTTGGCCACCTGCAAGATGGCTTTACTGACAGAACCAATTTGTGTGGCTTATGGAAATTAATAGGAAAGCTAGAGCTCTGTGTCCAGTAGAATTTTCACGTTTATGGAAATGTTTGGTCTTCCTTTCAAATAGCAATGTCAGAAATGCACAGTAAATATGAGAATTTGGATTCAGAAAACTTTTCCTCCTCTTTATTTAGTCTCTTACATGATGAACCACTAGAACCCTTACAAAACAGTAATAGTAATAACATTTACTGTTTACTGATCTTTTATGTTCTCTGCATTATGTACATGTATGCTCATTTACATCTTACCTCGAGTCTTGTTACATAGGCATTAAACTTGCATGAATTCACCTATTCCTCACGGTGAGAAGGAAATAGAAAAAAATAGCATAAATGGTACACATAATTAAGCTCAACATTCCGAAGAATATATGTTCTGAAAAAAAAAAAAAAGTGCTCACAGATTATACCATTCCTGCACTCCAAAGCTGACTGGTTATGCAGAAGATGCAACACTTCATTATTTATTTTGGAGTTAGGATGTTAGAACTAGAAGTAATTTTAGAGATTAATCAGATTATCTTCCTTTGACAGTGAAATTGAGTCCCGGTTACATTAAGTGATTTGCCCAAGGTTGTGTGGCTGATTAATGGCAGGGCCAGGACAGGAATCTAGGTCTCCTAACTTAGATCAGTATTCTTTTCACATATTATTTAGATTTTAGAGACCAGTTTTTGAAATATTTTTAACCTAGCTTAGAATTTCATACACCAAGCAGCCAAATCACATAGCAGAGTAGAAGTAAATTTATAAAATTCTAACTAAATCAGCTTCTGGTTCTGGAAGCTGAACAGCTTCAAGGAACAGTGATATATGCTGTATAATTAATGGGTATCCACTCCAAAAGGAAGCTAACAGAAAATTCCCTACCAGCGATTGATTTCTGAGTCCTTTCTTTTTATCTGAGCTGCCTTGTGCCCTCTGTAAGCACTCCCCATTATCATATTGTAAAAGCACTTAAAAAGTCTGCAGCACGTGTAACTGTATTGTGTGAAAGCATCATTTAAGTCTTTATTTGCCCAGGGGATTTTGTACCTTCTGAGAGCTTGTAGTGTAATAGAAACAATCTTCACATACATGTGTAAAATACATAGAAATGACCAGTTACATTGAGCCATCTAAGATCAAGGTTTAAAACACGGTATTAACATGAAAAACATGTCAGAAGTAATATCACTATGTGAATAATGAGAGTGATCACAGGTCATCTGAGGTGAGAGGTCATTCGGTTCATTTACGCTATAAATATGAACTTAGTTCCTTGCCACATGCCGTGCACTTGCTAATAACCTGAGCTGCCAAGACAAGTAAGACAAGGTCCTGGCCTCGCTCTAGCTGGTGGATCATGATCATCTGTGTTCTTGCCTTTCTCTTGTGTCTTCAGCTCTCTTCCTTGTCCCACCTTATTCCTGTTGCCACTTACTTGTTACCGTGACTCTACTTTTTATCTCTTACCGTTTCTTTCAGAGAGTGAACAATATTTGTGTCATGTGTGGTACATATCAAAACAAGTTAGACATGATCTCCGTTATCTGAGATCTTTTCTCCTTTTCTTTCATCTGTCTCTCGTCCGTTTGTTTGTTCGTTCATTCACTCATTCATTTGTGTATCACACATTTATTAAATACCCACCGTGAGCTTACCACTACTCCAGTGCAGAGGATACAGAAGTTAGAAAGACTCCCTGTGCTCATTAACTTTTCTTTCTTCTGGAGAAAGAAAATCTATGTCTGGAGAAAGACATATCTTCTGGATATGTCTTCTCAAAAGTTAATACAAAATATCATTTCAGGTAGTGGAATTTTCTGGGATGCTACACAAAGGTAAAAAGAAAGAGAATACTTCCTGGATAGAGTGGTTAGGGGAAGTCTCTCTGGAGAGAGAACAGTTGAGCAGTGACCTGAAAGACATTGAGAAATAAGCCATGTAGAGATGGAGGGAAGGAAATGGAGGCAGAGGAAACAGGTGCCAAGAGCCCTGGGGGAGTCACGAGATCGGCACGTTGGGAGGAACAAGGAGGAGGCCATGATGTAATGAGACAGGGAATGGTGGCCTTCCGCTGGAGGTGTCACCATGGTCCTGATCCTGCTGGGCTTTGTGGACTTGGACAATGTCTTTGGGTTTTAGCCTGAGTATGGGAGGAAGCGTTAGTGAGTTTTGAGCAAGTAAATGATGTGCTGTGAGTTTTTAAAAACCACTTCAGCATCTGTGTAGAGAAGTAGTTAGGAGGGAGGAACAAGAAGGGAAGCAGGGAGACCTGTTAGGACGCCATCACAATCCTTGAGGTGAGTCCAGGGGGGTGGGTAGTTCAGAAAGAGGGGCAGTGCCAGTGGGGGAGTGACAAGGGTTGGATTTGAGGTATATTTTGAAGTAATGGCTGATCGCATTTAGTATCTGTTGGCCTTGGGGTTGTGAACTTTTGTCTTTTCATTTTCTCTCTTTACTGTGGAGAAGGGGCAGGGGCAAAAATCACAAAGGGATAAACCCGTGAGAATTTATTGAATGTCTGCATTTTTAAAAATAGCATTGGGGCGCCTGGGGGGCTCAGGCAGTTAGGTGTTTGACTTTCGATGTCAGCTCAGGTCCTGATCTCACAGTCTGTGGGATTGGGCTCCGTGTCGAGCTCTATGCTGACAGTGCAGAGCCTGCTTGGGATATTCCCTCTCTCTCTCTCTCTCTCTCTCTCTCTCTCTC